TATTTTGAGCTGAAACTTCACAAATACATTCTAGGGACACCTGAGACGAATATTACATCTTGTAAAAAGGGGCATAATAGGTGCCCTTTAAGTCTTAGCCTACTTACAGGTTGTGGCCCAACAACTGCTGCCTCTGGTTTTAAAGTTGGATCTGCTTCATGTTTTAGTAACAGTTTCTTGTTGAATCTGGCATTGAACTCGTGGAGATTCTGGAAGCTGTCTTCCGTAAAATGCGCAGCACAGAGAGCTAGATTACGATCGTCATTTTCAGGAACATAATCAAACATAAATTGTATCCATTGTTGACGAAGTACAGCATCTGTGGGAAGCTCCAACACAGAAGACCTGACAACTACGTGAACAACACACTCGACGAGCCGCAGAAATATGGTCATGCCCTTTTCTGCTTATTCCGGAGGGAGGTGTTGATGCAAATGTGTGGGTTAGTGACGTCTAAAACCCAGCTGTAGTCCCAATCGAGTCGTTTTTGTAGGCAATATACTTCCTGATTTTTAAAAGATGATATCTCTGCTTACACTGAACTTTCAGCGCTGCAACTTTGCAGATACTGTTCATGCATCAACAGCAACATTACACACTATTTAAAATGAAAAAAGTGAAATCGCAATCAACCACCCCTTTAAGGATTGACAGATTGAGCTCTTTCTTGATATCTTTGGGTGGTGGTGCATGGCCGTTCTAAGTTGGTGGAGCGATTTGTCTGGTTCATTCCGATAATGAACGAGACTCCGGCATGCTAACTAGTTACGCAGCCCCGAGCATTCGGTGTCCAACTTCTTAGTGTCACAAGTGGCGTTCAGCCATGTGAGATGGAGCAATAACAGGTCTGTAATGCCCTTAGATTGAAACTGTTTTCCCGTCAACAAGGAATTCCCAGTAAGCATAGGACTCGTAACTTTGCGTTGATTAAGTCCCTGCCGTTTGTACACACTGCTCGTCGCTACTACCGATTGTGTGGTTTAGTGAGGTCCTTGGATCGGCCCTGCCAGAGCTCCTCACTAGGTTCTGGCGGATCTTCGAAAAGATGATCAAACTTGACCATCCAGAGATAGTAAAAGTCATAACAAGCAGCCAAGCGATCATAGCGACGTCGCTTTTTGATCCTTCGATGTCGGCTCTTCCTATCGTTGTGGAGCAGAATTCACCAAGCGTTGGATTGTCCACCCACTAATAGTGAATCTAAGCTGGGTTTAGACTGTTGTGAGACAGGTTAGTTTTACCCTACTGATGTCTGTGTCGTTGCAATAGTAATCCTGCTCAGTACGAGAGGAACCGCAAGACATCTAAGGGCTTCACAGACCTGTTATCGCTCCATCTCGCGTGGCTGAACGCTACTTGTCCTTCTAAGAAGTTGGACGCCGATTATTTCATTTCATTCATTATTTTTTAAATCTGTCATAATAAAACATGTCGAGTAACCTCTGCAAAGCCTATCTGAATTTGTGTCTAATATAACAATTTTCTATGCATACTGAGGAAGCATAGCCTACTTTAAATGTATTGAAATTAAAAAGGCATCTTTGAGTAAACTTCGAGTATCATTTGAGTATCTGTTTGCCGGGCCGAGTGTCCTGGTTTTTGGTAATCAAAATATGGTCACCCTAATTTAAAGGGGGGGTTGACTGCGATTTCACTTTTTTCATTTTAAATAGTGTGTAATGTTGCTGTTGGTGCATGAACAGTCAAAGTTGCAGCGCTGAAAGTTTAGTGTAAGCAGAGATATCGTCTTTTAAAAATCAGGAAGTATATTGCCTACAAAAACGACTCGATTGGGACTACAGCTGGGTTTTAGACGTCACTAATCCACACATTTGCATCAACACCTCCCTCCGGAATAAGCAGAAAAGGGCATGACCATACTTCTGCAGCTCGTCGAGTGTGTTGTTCACGCAGCTGTCAGGTCTGTCTTCGAACTTCCCACAGATGCTGTACTTCGTCAAAAATGGATACAATTTATGTTTGATTATGTTCCTGAAAATGACGATCGTAATCTAGCTCTCTGTGCTGCGCATTTTACGGAAGACAGCTTCCAGAATCTCCACGAGTTCAACACCGGATTCAACAAGAAACTGTTACTAAAACATGAAGCAGATCCGACTTTAAAACCAGAGGCAGCAGTTGTTGGACCACAACCTGCAAGTAGGCTAAGACATTCATCTTAAATGTATTTGCATTTATAATTCCAGACGTTGCCTTGTGTTTTAGTTTTTTTCAAATGCCAGCGCTAGCTTTATTGCCACTAGGCTATCAGTTATGCTATTTTGTGTCTACGACAAACGCGTACAAACATGAATTTTGTATAAGTGCTAATGTTGTAAATGTATTTTTCATGTATATATGTTTTATGATGTTATTTTCGATTTGATCAAGAACGTAAACTTGCCACCCCTGTTTAGTAGTCAGTCAGTTGCTATTGTTGCCAGTCAGATGCTAGTGTGTTAAACAAATGTGTATAAAGTTTAAAAAAATGTAGCAAATTATCATTCCGAAACATTTATTAAGAGCCGTGTGTGGTGTGGTTCTGTTTGACTCTCTTCATCGCGGCTTTCTCGGTCTGATTCTGGGTCATACTGATACTGCAGTTCGACACATATTTACATCTGGACCGGAGCTCATGACGTTCCCGTTTCGCCCGTAAAGGAAATGGGCGCTAACTTTCGGGACAACGTAAGCGACAGTTTAGCCAATCACAACACACCGGGCCAAGCTAACCAATCTGAGCCCACGACGTGTTTCTGAGGGAGTGGTTTCATAGACTCAGGAAGTCAACCGCTCGTTCGAGGCCAGGGGAGAACGCGGCTGACAATAAACGTGAAGTTTATGAAAAATAACACTTTTTAAAAACGAAAAACCACGAATACATGTTATATTGCACCCCATAAACACAATCATGCAAAGAAAAAAAGCAGTCAACCCCCCCTTTAATTATTCAGGTCTAATTATTGTTTTTATGCCATATAGTGGTTTTACATCAAAAGCCATATGCTCACTGCTCAGACTCACTGAGCTCATGTTTCTCTGGTGCACGTATTGTAGGCTTGCAGAATGGAAAATTCAGTGTTTACATTCTCGAACAAAAGTTCTCATCAATGTCAATCTTCTCTCCATTATTCCATTCATCCACCCTTTGTAATGTGGTGAATGAGTGCTACATTAAGTGTTAATATTTGCCTTGTCAACATGTTTTCAGACCAATCATTTACCACCACAGGTGTTATGTATGCTGTTTGTTTTGGATGCTATAGTGTCCCTCCAAGCCATTTAGCTAGCTTAGCAAGTTTTATTCTTATATTCCTATAACATACAGTATTATCTTAGTAACAACAAGTATTCAATTTTTTTTTCTAAAGGATGCAAAAGTGTACAATTTTTTCAAAAGATTATGCTGGTATGGTGCTAGTCTTGCTGAGTAATTACTGACAGCATTTTCATTTGTGAACTATCCCTGAAACATTTCTATTGTGGTATGTTCTGTTTGCAGCGAGTTTCTCCATTGTGAGTATTTGCAGCACATGTGTTGTCAAACTAATGAAAATGTTTTCTTAATTTGCTGGTGTTTTTTCTATTTGTATACATTTTCTTTAATTGCAGCGTGTTAAGCTTTTTGCTTTAGATGCACGTCCCGTTATTTGGTTACATTGTAAACTTTTGCAGCAATTGTTGTCAAACTGATGGTGTTTTCTTAATTTGCTGGTGTTGAGCTCTGTGAACTTTCGCAGCGCGTTTGTGTATTTGGTTGTGTTGTGTGTATATGTAGAACGTTTGTCAAACTGATGAAGGGTTCGGTTGCAGCGCGTTGAGCTCTCTCGGCCACCGTACATGTGGCATGTTGCAAGTTAAGCACAATGGCAGACACACAAACACTTTGTGACTTTATATTTAATATGTCTTACTGAATAGACTAAGTAGGTTTCTTTCACTATACTTTATTTAGTTTTGGTTAAGGTTAAGTGTAAATCAAATATGTGGATGAAAATCTATACCTGCTTCTGACAGAAATGTAGAACACTAAAACACTACAACCATCTGCAAATTACATTTATGAAACTATCCTTATTTTTTATTTTTATTTATTTATTTATTTTTGGTTAGATCCAGATGGCAGCTGGTGGGGATGTACAGATCAGTAGGCTATACCAAAGATTTGTGATGTGACACCTTAAATTAGATTAGGGAGAACTTGAAGTTTGTAAATTATTTTTGGTAACTTGCAAAATAACATTAAATTGTATCAGAACATGCATAGCCCATTTACTTTTGAGTTGAAAATAATATATTTTATATAAGATAATAACCATAATATAAGATATAATTTCTGCTGTTCAAAAAAAAAAGAAAAAAAAAGGTATTGGCATTGCTCAAAGCGAGGACATTGTATGTCATCAGTGAGCAAGGGTTAAGGCCATTGCACACATTGCACGCTTTGAAGCTTTCATTTGCGAATCATTTGTTTCGAACAAGTGATTCGGAGTGTATCAAACTGCCAAGTCACGTGATTTCCGGAAACAAGGCTTCCTTACGACATAACGGTTTCGAATTTTCAACATTTCGCCGCCAGGGGCGATCTCGGTCAACCAGTGAACCAATTCTTTACTTGATCTTGGATGAATTTCGAAAATTGTAGACATTCAATAACACATTTGTATAATAAAAATAAAACGTTGCCTAATCTCTTGGAATTATTGGTCTGAATAAACAGACTCCATAAAATAAAACAAGCCCATCAATTTAATAAAATAATATTATAAATATTCTAAATATTTAATGGTAGATGATTTTTTAATTGCATTAAATATTGTACACCTTTAATAAAACATATGCAGTTCGTATGTAACACTGTATGTTTTTATGCATGTTTGGTTGGGCTGAGTTTTCGTTTTATTTACACTGTTCTTCTGACCATGGTTCAGCTGTAGACGTCACCAGCGTGTGGCTCAAGCGCTTCGAAACAAAGAATCATGATTCAATTGATTCAAAGTTTCCAAAAGCTTTGTTTTATCCGGAAGCAGCAACATTTATGATTTCGGATATTTAGCCGCCCGAATCGTATACCCGTTACTGGGCCAAACAATAGGACACGGACAGTTAATATGCGAGTCAAGTTTGTGAGGTAACGTGATATTTCTAGTGTAGCAGCTAGCTAACATTAAAGATACCGACAGGTTTTCAATTGCCCTATCATACGTTTGGTCGGTGTACATGTTCGATTTTTTCTAATGTCTCTAATTTCGATTCGAATTAGAGACATATTAAAACTAAGGTTCGCATGTAACAATACACAAAACAATAGTCTAAGAACAGTTTGTAAGAATGTTAACGTTACTTCCGCCTGTGATAGGTGTAGTTTATTATAACCTAACGGTAACTGTATTTGTTTGAAGCAATAGTTTTTTGGAATAAAAACAACTTCTAAGCTGGACGTAAGAAAATCTTGAAGATGGTTTGATGGCTGTGGTTCGGTTTCAATACTGTTGAAAATTAATTACATGTTAAAATTAGCAGAAGTAGATGAATAGCATCACGAGTCTGGAGGCTAAACTGGAACCAATAAGTCAACCATGTCTCTTAAAGGGAAAGTTCACCCAAAAATTAGTTTATGAGTTTCTATCTTCTGCTGAAGTCAAAAGAAGATATTTTGAATAATGCTGGTAACCAAACAGCTTCTGGTCCCCAATGTCATCCATCATATTTTTTTCATACTATGGAAGTCAGTGGGTGCTATATCAACATTTTGGTAACCATCATTATAAAGAATACATCTGGAATTGAAAGAATAATGTTTTTTATTATCCGTTATTAATTTCCTGGTATATGGCTCTTTTTCATCATGCAATTTTGAGAGCATGTGCAGATGCTAGGCTCATTTGAAATGACAAAATTTGTGCAGAACCGATCACCAGTGATCATGCGAGATGCATGCCGGTTGCTCTGATGTCACGCTGACAGTTGCTCTCCACTGACTGCGCTGATCTAAAGCTCGATGGGAAATTACTTGCTGATGACACAGCTTAAAGATTCACTTTCCTGATAATTTACAATGCATGTCATCCAAGATGTTTGTTTTACTTCTTCATTCAAAAAGGTATTTAGCCTAGGTTTTTAAGGGAAAAAATCCTTCATATAGTGGACTTCCAACGGGATGGAGGCCCATATTGCAGTTTTAGTGCAGCTTCAGAGGCTCTACATGATCCCAGCCGAGGAATAAGGGTCTTATCTAGACAAACCATTGGCCATTTTCTAAAAAAAAACCTAGTAAAAATGTATACTTTTTAATCACAAATACTTGACTTCACACATTACGTAATCACGTTGAAAGGTCAGGTGTGACGAAGGCGGAAGGTGGGGCAGGCCGAAAAACTCCATCTCATTTTCTTCTCCACCTTCAAAATCATCCGAAATCTTTTCTTTTTTTGTAAAAGGCTGTTTGACGTTTTCTTTGCACGATCGCTTTGTAAACACTGGGGCGGTGCTTTTGTCAACGTCATGTGTGACACTTCAATGTGATTACATATTGTGTGGCGCATCACAGCTAGTGTAAGACAAGCATTTGTGGTTAAAAAAATTATATATGTTTATTTTTTTTTTTTAAATGACTGATGGTTTGGCTTGGGATCGTGTAGCGCAATTTAAAGCTGCACTTAAAAAAAGTCATCTATATGGAGAGAAATCCTAGAATGTTTTCCTTAAAAACCTTACTTAAAAACGTTGCTTTGAGTAGACAAGAAGTATTGCCTATTGCCTAATCACCATGTCATAGACGAATAATAACATTTCTTTTGTTTCTTTTTTCCCGCAGATTCTGGTGCATGTATTTATTTCTACACCTGATAGACAATGGTTAGTGTTCACAGACCCCAGTTTACATTGTGTTTTTTTCGTGTAACTTCACATTCTGTGCAGTTTGTTTATGGTTTGCATATTAAAGGTGTTACTCTTGTCTCCAGTGTCTCTGCAGGACTCTGTTTCAGTCGAGGGTGTTGTTGGAGGCTCTGTCATCTTGCCATGTTCATACAAAGAAAGAAAGCTAAACACAGAGGAGATTAATGTGTTTTGGAGATACAAACGAAAAAATATTTTTAACTATGTTAAAGTTTATGATATTGAAAAGGGCAAGCCCTTAACAGAAAAGCAGGATGCAATGTTTAAAGGTCGAATTGAAGGGCCCTCAGAGGATGCAGATGGAAACTTCTCTCTCAAACTCTCCGATCTGAGACTCACTGATGAAGGACAGTTCTTATGTGATATTCCAGATGTGGACAAGGAACACAAACTAACGCTGCTAGTCAGTGGTATGTGGAAACAGTCATTACTCACGTAGGCAGTTTGAGTCATTTGATAAAAGGATGTGAAATGCCGCATCAAATATATTTTTAGATTTAAGCTTTTATATCATCATAATAAATGTCATAAAATATATCCATCATGTGCATTGTATGCCTTTGTTGCATTTATAGACAATTACTGTCTAAATAGTGATATGTTTTCATATTTGTGACTCTTTTTTTTTTCTAACAGCAATGACAACAACAGTGTCTACTCCAAATTCAACAGTGAATGGAAGAAGCTGTTCCATGAGAGCACAGCCAGAAGGGGTTGTAACTTTCCTGTTGCTGTTTTGGAGTGTTGTGTTTTGCACTTTATCTGAGTGATTTGCTAGACTGCTGTATTGCCTTTCTTTAATGTATAGCTACAATTGTCTGTTCCTGGACCCCAAATGTTCTGACTGCTGTATGAAACTGGCCAAAATGATTATTGCATATAGATGTTTGATATTACTTTTATTTATTTGAAGTTCAAACCCAGTATGGATGCTGTTAGCAGGTCATTCTTGACTTTATTGGTAAGGTCTGTAACATGGGGAAATGAAGCACACTCCACTGAGAGTGCACACAAGGGCAGTTAAGGTAGTTAGAAGGGACTTAACATATTTGCTAGCTACACAATTTTTAAATTTCTGTTAATGTTTTTAGGTCATCAGTATAACATTATTTTCACACATAAGTCAGATAGCTTTAGGAATCTGACAGGTAAGTTAAGGTGCAAAATGCATGATATGTGTTGTTACTATGTTGATAGCTGTCAAGCTTTGTCCAGGTATTATTTTTTTCAACATTATTTTCTGCTATGTTTGTTTTTGTTACAGCCTGATTAACTATAAAAAGAACAGCGGCATAAATATACGCAGTACTATAAGTATTGTTATGTTAACTTGCTGGCTATGTCCTTCATTTGCAAGCTTGCTTGAATAAAGATGCCTGCTAAATGAATAAATGTATATTTACAGTTTTCAAAAGTATGCCGTTTTTATTTTCTGGTTTCCAATAATAGAGGTTAGATAAACTAAGCCTGATAAATAATTTGATTGTGCAGCATTCTGAGGTAATTAATCAGAAGTATTGGTTCTTTTTATCATAATTTTCCATAGTCAGAGTTGGGTGTAGTGGATTTTACAGTGGATTGCTCAGGACACACATGAGTGGTTCAATCCAACCTAACGTTTTTGATTAACTATATAAACAACAATCACATACTGTGTATCCTTATTACATATTTACAAAGTAAGAATGGCATGTACAGTAATTCTTAGAATTGTGAAAATTATTGTTTAATTAATATATCCTGGTGAAAGTTGCATCAATAGTTTATTTTAAATCAAATGAAAGTTCCCAAATGGAAAATGTGCATTTGTGTAAATTACAACACATGCATGAATAATACCTGAAAAATATTGTGCATAAAGTTTACCAACTGAAAAATTAATCTGAAATAAGATTTGTAGCTCTGATAGACTTGCATTACACGTAACTATTACTTAAACGTATGATGTTGTTTTAACAAAAATATAAGAATTATCATGATTTCAGCTCTGACTTCCCCCCTCTCGTCTGTGTGGTCGAGGTTTGTGTTTCCGCACACAGTACGAGATGTGTGAATGATCACTATAGCAGATATTATTCATCTGGATCAGATCATGAAGATCATACAGCTGCAGATCTGTGAGTTTCTCATGACACATTTCATTAAATCAGTTTTATTTTCATTTTATATCTTAATAAATGTGTATTTCTTTCTGTCATAGATCTGTTCATGTTGTATCAAGCCTCAGAGAGTCTAACAAACATAACAGTAACTTTAGGATCTGATGTGAATATAACGTGTGATCTTGATATAGAGGAGATTTACTGGTACAAACTGAAATTACCGGATCCTCCAGTGTTGATTTTACGCACTTTCAGCAGCACATATGAAGGAGGCAAATATGAAAACATCACCTATAAACACAAATACTCAGTGAAAACTAACAGTCGTCTGTTCATCAAGAATATCACCATTGATGAATTAGGAGTTTATTATTGTGTGAAAACTAGTGAACCACCAAAAATCAGCAACGGCACCAAAATCTACATCAGCGGTGAGTTATTTTATCATTTCATGTCTTTATAAACCACATGATGGAGTCCATATTGAAAATACTGTATAAATATCTAATTTTATTTTATTTTATTCTTTTATTATTCTCTTAAAGACTGAAACTGAAAGATTGAACTGCAAACATTTTACAGACTTTGTCCATAATAATATTACAGACTCGGTCGACAGGAATCAGACAGAAGATGCTTCACAACGGCAGATACCATGGAGAAATATGACCATCATATTCATCCTGCTGAATGTGCTTCTGATTATTGCAGTGATAGGTTTGTAAAATTGCACTGAATTATACAGCCATATCATATCTGCTCTTAGTTTAAACTGTCAAGAAGTGTCTCAGTGATGTTTCTTCACTGTTGTTTCAGGTTTGCTGAAGAGCTGCATTGACGCAACTAGAAGATCTAAAAATACTTCAGAGAAACCTCAAAATACCACCGAAGCTCAAAACACAAATGATCCACAGGTAAGATACTTCTTAAACAAATTATTTTATTTATTTTTAATATATTTAAATATTACCTGCCCAGATTATTTTGCACTCTATGTTCTTAGGTTAGTATAGTGATGTAATAGGAATATTTAAGATAGTGTCTTCAGATAGTGAACTACATTAAATTAATTTTATGAAATGTGTTTTAGAAAACAGTACAAAAAAAAGTGTCTGGGATACTCAATTCTGATTAGTTAGTTGCAGCATTCTGGTCAAATATCTTTCTTATAATTAGTGCTAAACCTTATATTTGATCAATGGTTTATTTCCTTCATCCTTTTCCTTGTGCCCTTCAGGATGATACAAGACCCATAAGCTTCATTTTGGGGTCCTGATCACCTTGTTAGGGTTTATTTGCCTATCGGCTGACTGTACATTACGTCTTACACACTGTAATTGCTGTTTATTTTGTTTTTTCTTCCTCTTCCAGTATGCTCAAGTTGATTTCACCAAGCTCTCCAGACGAAACCGGCCTTCTCAGGATCAGACCACCTACTCTTTTCTTCAGCCCGTAAAAGCTGTATAAAGTATTATCCATTATAAATCTAAATCGCATATGAATTTCTTTACAAAACTAAAATATGTTATTTTTGTTATACTTGTAATGCTTCTCAAATGTCAATGAAAAGCAAGATCCCATTAATGAACAAAATTAGTGTTTTTTTTTCTGGTGTTTAATGGAAATATATACAGTATTGTATATATTAATACTGCACTATTCTCTGATGTAGTTGTCTCTATAGACCTCTTTATAAATGTTTGTTCTTGCCAGTGCTCTGAGATGTTCATGCTTGCAGTAAACCAGAAGGCAATGTGGTTTCTGTGTGTTTTAGAGCAACTTTTTACAAATGAAAATTTGAGCTACTTTGTGTATGTGTATTTGTATGTTAAATAAATTTGGCATAGAACTAGAGTGGAAATCTCATGAATAACGCTTAATAAATATGCATTTTTTTTCATCTTATTTATATATTTTTTGCATGCACATCAATCGTTCTAAATAATTTGGTTATTATTTATTAAAACGGGTGACTTCTGCTCTGTTTCTGTGGTTAACATACAATGTGGTTTCGTGCAAATGAAGTGTTCCACTAGTTTGGTCAATTGATGAACCAAACAAACATAAACTTTGCATGCATACAGACAGGTGGCTTAAACATTTATCAAGTGAAGATGTGTGGAGTACTTTCTGCCTGAAACAAAAACACTATAAACAGATTTTACTTGAACCCCTTTAATTACTCAGTTACCCGTGACTATTTCGGAAAGCTCAGCAAAACCATCAACCCCTTGTGTTTTAGAATCGGGAAGTACAGACTAGACAGCTTTGCTGAAAATGACATTCAATTTATGATATTTTTCTTTCAGCAACTTCTGAGCTAAGATATAATGGGTTGTGATGCCAAAATAGACCATATTTCAGGCAAACCTGTAAAAACAATGCTGCATTTTCTTAGCAATTTAAACTAAGTGAAAATGGCAGTATTTTCTTTGCACTAAGGGTAAATAGTAGTTAGATGCTATTCATACTCAACAATATGTTACTAAAATCATAAATAGATGCTGCTTGATTGGGATATTAGTCAACATTACTCTCTACACCAGGGGTTCCCAACCACGTTCTTGGATCCGCCAAACATGCAGACATTTGTACACACATTAATTTGTCATTTGTCTGATTCAATGGCACAATGGAGGACAGAGTTAGTAAGCCACTGTCAACAATTGGGGCTGTTTACAATTAGTGATTTCGCCTATGAAAGATTATATATAACTAGTTTAGGATATGATCACATGGATTATAAGACTTGTGTGGTCAAAGCAAATTAAACTTCAGCTCCCCCTTGACTGTGGTTATGTCTGCTGGTGGGCTGTGGGTGTCAACGTTAACATCATGTGTTGCTTTTATCATGAGCCATTGTGTAGCTGTGCACGCATCAGTGCAGAAACAAGTAACTTCTTGTTTTAATAATATTCACATTCACTAGAAAGTTACATTTAGACTGAACATGTGTCATGTTAGCTATTAGTTGCAACAATAAGTAAGATTAGTTAATAACAGTGCTGCTCTTCTCCATATGCAGATTATGCTTTCTGTGTTCAGCCATATCATACTATCACTATCACTATCCCACAACCTAAGCGCAGGCTTCACTCTTCGCCTGTCACAGTCATATTTATATGTCATTGTCTTGTTTAGTTTTAGGACCAGATTTACTAAACATTAGCGTCGGAGATCAAGTCCAAAACAGCGCCGGTGGGAGGGGAAAGTTCTGCACGTGATCTACTAACGACACATAGATTAAATAAATTATTTAACAATATACTTCCCTATAACATAAACATAATGTAAAAAAAAATAAAAAATACACAACACCCAAAATATTTTTTCAACTACTCACATCAATTATTAATTATTATCACATAGCCTACTTGTATATTTTATATTATTGATCAATATGTGAATCCGTTGACCACATGACACGAGTTGAGATCTCATTGGCACAAATTAATTTAGATGAGAAGATAGAACTGTTTTTTTATTGTTTGATCACATGGTTCTGCTCTGCATATGATGTTAAAACACGTCTGACCACCAGATGTCGCTAATGCGTAATGTGTTAACAGCTTCGAGTAATAAACCGTTTTTGTTTTTTGACACAATTTGAGGAAAGCCTCAAAGTTTTAGAAAGCCTCAGTTTCCCTTCATTAGGGTATCTGGCAATCACGATGAAGATAAGATGTCCAATGAGTCTCTGGAGAAGGACGATGAAGGTAGGCAGATACAGGTTACTCTCACATAGAGATTAACTGGATCCTAGTTGTATACAACACTAGAAAGTGTGAGAAAATCCAGAAATCACAGTATATGATTTTGTAACTTTTTATTTGTATAATGCAGCTGCAAATAAGTATTTCAACACCTGTCTGTCAGCTAGAATTCTGACCCTCAAAGACCTGTTAGTCTGCCTTTTAGGCCCCGTTTACACGAGAGCACTCGGATGTGCCTTTCGTTTACACGGCGACGGCGTTTTTGAGGCTTAAAAACGCAAAAAAGTGAAACCACCCTCCAGAGTGGAAATCTTAAAAACACTCCACTGCCGCGTTCCCGTGTAAACGGTAAAAACGCAAAAGTCTGCTTGACAGTGAAGGTTGTACGCAGGCGCGTGGACTTGGTGTTGTTGTTGTATGCACTCCTAGCCGCCTGAAGTGCATACTACATTGAATTTCACACACTTTTGCGTCACCATTTGCACGCGGATTTCCCACACAAAACGCTCGTCTAAACGCAGAATAAAAAGTGATGACGCAACGCCACCTTTGCGTTTTCTCTTCAGAATCGTTTCCGTGTAAACATAGCCTAAATTTTCCACCTCCACTCCATTTATTATCCTAAATTCGATGCACCTGTTCGAGGTCGTTAGCTGCATAAAGACACCTGTCCACCCCATACAATCAGGAAGAATCCAACTACTAACACGGCCAAGACAAAAGAGCTGTCCAAAGACACTAGAGACAAAATTGTCCACCTCCACAAGGCTGGAAAGGGCCACGGGGGAAAAGGGTCCACTGTTGGAACAATCATTAGAAAATGGAAGAAGCTAAACATGGCTGTCAATTTCCCTCGGACTGGGGCTCCATGCAAGATCTCACCTCGTGGGGTCTCAATGATCCAAAGAAAGGTGAGAAATCAGCCCAGAACTACACGGGAGGAGCTGGTCAATGACCTGAGAAGAGCTGGGACCCCCGTTTCCAAGGTTACTGTTGGTAATACAATAAGACGTTATGGTGTGAAATCATGCATGGCATGGAAGGTTCCCCTACTTAAACCAGCACATGTCAAGGCCCGTATTAAGTTTGCCAATGACCATTTGGATGATCCACAGGAGTCTTGGGAGAAAGTCATGTGGTCAGATGAGAACAAAATAGAACTTTTTGGTCATAATTCCACTAGGAGGAAGAAGATTGACGAGTACCATCCTAAGAACACCATACTGTGAAGCATGGGGTGGTACAGTGGCATAATGCTTTGGGGGTGTGTTTCTACACATGCGACTGCACTGTATTAAGGAGAGGATGACCAGGGCCATGTATTGCGAGATTTTGGGGAACAACCTCCTTCCCTCAGTTAGAGCAATGAAAATGGGTCGAGGCTGGGTCTTCCAACATGACAATGACCCGAAGCACACAGCCAGGATAACCAAAGAGTGGCTCTGTAAGAGGCATATCAAGGTTCTGGCGTGGCCTTGCCAGTCTCCAGACCTAAACCCAATAGAGAATTTCTAGAGGGAGCTCAAACTCTGTGTTTCTCAGCGACAGCCCAGAAACCTGACTGATCTGGAGAAGATCTGTGTGGAGGAGTGGGCCAAAATCCCTCCTGCCGTGTGTGCAAACCTGCTGAAAAACTACAGGAAACGTTTGACCTCTGTAATTCCAAACAAAGGCTACTGTACCAAATATTAACATTGATTTTCTCAGGTGTTCATACATTGTGGTTTCTTGATTATGTCTCTCAACGTGGACATGCGCCTACAATGACAATTTCAGACCCCTCCATGATTTCTAAGAGGGAGTACTTGCAAAATAGCAGGGTGTTCAAAAACTTGTTTTCGTGGAAACAGTTATTATTCATATAGGCAGTTTGAGTCATTTGAGAAATGGATGTAAGTGTAATGCCTCATATAATATATTTTTAGATTTAAGCTTCAGCATTTGTCAAAAAATTATCTAGCATGTGCATTGTATCCCTTTGTTGCATTTTTAAACAATTATTGTCTCAATAGTAATGTTTTCATATTTGTGTTTTTTTTTTTGTCTAACAGCAATCCCTACAACAACGCCTACTACAGTGTCTACTCCAAAACCAACAGTAAATGCAATAATTCCATGAGAGCTGTTTTGGAGATTTGTATTTTGCACTGTATCTGAGTAATTTACTGTATCACAATTGTCTGTTCCTAGACCCCACTGACTGCTGTATGAAACTGTGGCCAAAATGATTATGCATATAGATGATATTATTTTATTATTATTTATTGAAATTGTAAACCCAGTATGGCTGCTGCTAGCCAAACAGGTCATTCATGACTTTATTGGTAAGGTCTGCAACATGGGGAAATGAAGCACATTGCACTGAGAGGGCACACAAGGGAAGTAAAGGTAGTTAGAAGAAACTTAACAAACCTGTATTTGCTAGCTTTACAATTTTGAATTCCTGTTGATGTTTTTAGAGTCAGTATATAGTTATTATAGTTTCAAGAAGCTGACAGATAAGTTAAAGGGGACATATCATGCAAAATCCACTTTTTTAGCCCTTAAATGCATTTTGTTGTATATTTGGAGTGTTTATAACTACAGAAAATATTAAATTATTCTCTTCAGGTGCTTCGTTTATATCTTTATATTCTGTTTTGGTCATATTTTTCAACGTGTTCAGATTTTTCTGTTTTCTATGACGGTTTTTTAAAAAGTGCGTCACCTTTTGCAGCGGAACTGACCAATAAGGATATCGACCACCGGTTGAACACTTCGAGCAATCCGCCATTATTATTTCTCGCTCCGATTTTGTAGTCCGAGCTCAATGATGCAGAAGTTACGAGAGGGCAAGTCAAAATGTTCGGTTGTTGGATGTACGTTAGTGACCTGAAGAACTTCAAGAATTCCCACTTCAACAACCTCCGCCAGTAACGTTATACAGTAGGGTTTGCCGATTGACTTCGTCTGAATGAGAGGTAAATTCCTTCTATCTTTGGAGACGACGATTAGAGCATTTTGATAAGCTGTAAATATCGTTAATAGAAATAAAGTACTTTTCTTAAAACACATGGTGGTCATGGTTTAGCAGTACCTTTGTCTTTCTTTGTTTTTGTATTGAAGTAACGTTACACGTCTGCAGTATTATTGTTCTTGAGT